CGAGAGACTTCAAATTTGCCAAATTATACAAAAAACAAATAGTAAAATTATTACTAAAACAGATAATTACCCAATTAGAGTTGTGTTTACTATATAAACTGTTATACAAAAAGATCAACAATACATATCATATGATAAATAATTTATATACACTCTATCTTTAAGCAATTATTAAATATATTTATTATATAAGCATAAAATAATATTTATAGGCATTATTTTGAAAATCAGATACTTCAAAAATTATATATAGTCTTGAATTAATACTCAAAAATGTTTTAAATTAATATATATTCCAATATAATGCATAATTTATTATCATGATAAATATATAGTCGATACTTTATATATAAATATTTTATATGCACTTTTCATATAATAATAAATGTATATAATTTAAAACTACTCTAGTATTATCAATCTAAAAAATTGTACTAATTATGTATAACTAATCAAAATTTTTACTCTATCGAACTTTGAAATTTTTCTAAAACTTTATTACTAATATTAATAAAACTTTTTTTTTAAAAAAAAATAATTAATTATAATAATTTTTTTTATTTTATTTAAAAATTTTACAAAATTATAAAAAGAAGCAACAAAAAAAAATACAAAAAAAGCAATAAAAAATCAAAAAAACAATAAATAAAGCAAAAAACACAGAAAAATAACAAAAGAACTACTAAAAGAACAATAAAAGAACTACAAAGAAGTAATGAAATATGCTAAAAAGATAATAAAAAAATATCAAAAGAACAACTAAAAAATCACCAAAAGAATAATAAAGAGCTACAAAAAAAATCAAAAAAGTACCAAGAAAACTATTTAAAATAAAGCGAAAAAATGACAAAAAAGTATCAAAGAACTAAAAGAATAATAAAAAGAGAAGTACTAAAATTTTACTAATAGAAACTTTCTTTTTAATTCTAATTCTAAGCCAAACTTTAATTAAAAAAAAAAAAAATAATAATAATAATAAAAAATAATAATAAAAAATAATAAAAAAAAATAATAAAAAAAATAATAAAAAAAAATAATAAAAAAATAATAATAAAAAAAAATAATAAAAAAAATAATAAAAAAAAATAATAAAAAAAATAATAAAAAAATAATAATAAAAAATAATAAAAAAAAATAATAAAAAAAGAGCTTTATTTTTTAGTGACCCCCATGATTAACCAATCAAAATTGATCACATAACAAGAGTTTGAACCGGTTTTATAAACTGAGTTGAATATTTACTCATTCCAAAACTTTATTAAATTTATTTACAAAACTGTTACAAATCTTCATATTACATATACCCAACCATCAATTCTAAAAATATGATCTCATTAATTCATACATCTTAGTTCTCTTTGCCATAAAAACAAATAAAACAAATAGTTTAGTATGTCTTATTAAAACTATTTAGAGCTACACTCCAAAAAACTATCTTAAAAAACATACCACAGATTTTTGCCCTCTACAACACCTTATGCAGAATTTAGACCAATTCAAAGCCACAAAAAGAAAAAAAACGTTGAAAAAAAAAGAAAAATACCAATACTTATCATTATACAAATCCAACCACTACCAGTTCTAAAGAAAGATAGAAATTAGTAAAATAGAAGCAGATAAAAAATATGTTTAAGGGAAAAAAAAAACTTACCAAATTTAATTGAACAAATTTAAGAACAGATAGAGTTGCAATCCAGATAATCCGTCATCCATTTATTCATATTTCTGGATATTCATTTACTATTGATATCCAGATAATCAGACAAATATTCAGATAATTATCCGGATAACAATAGTAAAACAGATATCCGAATAAATTCAGCTTTGAATATCTAATAGATAAACAGATAATGGATTGTAACATTAAGAACAGAAGTATATTTAGTTTGTATTGGATTTACCACATATATATGCAATTTACTGCAAAAAATTCAGTTAAAAAATTTATTGGTAACGCATAGGATGTGATTAAATTAGTTTGTATTAAAATTATTGTGAAGTGAGGTAAGGTTATATCAGCTTGTATTGGAATTACCGTGATGATTTACTGTAAAAAAACTCTGTTAAAAAGTTTAAAGATGTGCCAATTTGTATTTAGCTTATTGCAAAAAAAATTCATAGTTACTGGCGACATATTGCATGTGACAAGTTTTTATTGAAATTAACATAATATTGACTGTAAAAAAAAAACTATTACAGAAGTAGTTAAGGATGTATTAAATTTGTATTGGAAGTATTCAAAAAAAAAAGTAACTTATTACAAATTTCAGTTACAAAACTTACTGGTAACAACATGTAGTTTAGGTTTTATTGGAATTATTGTAATGTCTATTATAGAACAATAGTGGTTAAAGTTAATGTTAGCTTGTATTGGAAGTATCATAATCATGATTTACTGTAAAAATCCTATAATTAAGGATGCATTAATTTGGAAAGATAATTTATTGCAAGAAATTCAGTTACAGAACTTACCAGTGGCACACAGAATGTGGTTAAGCTAGTTTGTATTTCCCCAAAGCAGATTAATAAAAAATGGAAGTGAAGAGTGAAAAAAGACACTTACCAAAACACAAAGGCCACGAAGGATCACTGAAGAGACGATAACGAATTTAGAAAGACAAATCTAGAGAGACAAATCTAGAGAGACAAATCTGGAGAGACAAATCTGGAGAGATGAATCTGGAGAGACAAATCTAGAGAGACAAATCTAGAGAGACGAATCTAGAAAGACAAATCTAGAAAGACAAATCTAGAGAGACGAATTTAGAGAGACGAATCTAGAGAAATGAATCTAGAGAGACGAATCTGAAGGGATTAAAGAAATGCTGAGTAAAAAAAAGAAAAAAATGAGAAAGAAAGAAAAAAATCAATCGCAACCTACTGATATTTGATCACAAATCTGAAATGTTCTATTTTATTTTTTCCTTCTCTTAAATACATCAATTAAGTCTAAATCGACACGCATAAATAAAATAGAATTAAGAGAAATTATATAATGGTAAATAGAATAGCCATAAACTTGAATGCATGCCTAATACATCGATTAATAAATGTTCCTTATCTCATAGACTAAATGAAAAAAAAGTAATTAAAAGAATCAAATGAGAGAATTGTATAATAGTAATATTTATGAACTTAAATAACTTCCCTTAAATATGTCAATTACAAGTCAAACTCGTTATAGTGAAATGGTCAGTTCTATTAATAAAAATTCACTATATTAAGAGTTTATTAGTAAATTCACTATACCGAGAGAATTTTATATAGACTGGCTTGGGTCCAACTTCACTATATCGAGATTTTAATTAGTTCTCACTATATCGAGAGTTCACTATAACGAGAGTAACTTGTAATTGACTTGAAGAAATGATAAATAACTATGGGCTTAATTAGTATACTTCAAAATACATCAATTAATAGATATTCCTTATACATATTTATTAAAATAGAATTAAATGCATCGACAAAAACAAATAAAAATAGTAAATAAGTAATAACTAACCAAGAATAGTATGACAAACGAAACCAAAAAACCTTTTTTATCAGGTTGTTTTTATTCTTCATAAGGTTTAATTATTCGCCGAAAATAAATTTGCTATTTCGTCTTTATCAATAATAAAATCTTGGGGTTTTGTCTAACCAACTATGTAGTACAAAAAAGCTAATTAGAAAAGTATAAACCAGAATTTTCAACTATTCACATGTGCCATTATCAAAAATTATATTGATAAAGTTGTATACACTTCTAAATAAAGTATTTATTTATTTAAAACTACTACAAAAAATATTTCACAATTACAAAGATAAATTATTATGACATCTGGAATTAAAGAAATGATTAGGATGGTATTAATGAACGGTAGCCTTCAAATAAACAAATAGCATTTACTATAGCTCACTAATATGGAAGTATATTAATGAAGAGACTTGGTAATTTTAATTCCTATTTAAGATAAATTTAACGTATAGGTGCATTGATTAATGGTAACTTTTACAAAACTTAATTATGATTTTGAACTATACTAATAATAACTTTATAACTACCTAAGTTAAAATGAAAAGAGGACTTGGAAGGATCCGATTTTTACAAGCTTGGATTTCTACTTCGAGTTATAAATGGAGAAATTATTAATAAGCAACAAATCTTCATGCAAATGCGGATTTAAATTATTAATAAATGAACTTCATACACACTGAAATCTATGCAAAAGAATTTCTTACAAACTTTAATTTCTGATTAAAAGTTGGTGTAAAAGTCGGTGTTAGTTAATGATAACCTTTAAAGCCTGCGACTTAAAATAGATTAATGAAATATCTCATATTCACCAAAAATAACATGGAAGAATGTTTTAGAAAGCATTGTTATTTCCCTATTAACAAAATAAGAATTAATTCTTGCTTTTAACACTGCTCATAGTAACATGAGTCTTATTTTAGGATCCACCATTTGACACTACATCTAGTACCCAAAACTTATTCAAAACCTTTATTTTTAAAATTGATTAGTACCTGGGGTACTTTGTATAGAACCAGATATTATATTTTGAGGATGTATATATGAAAAGTAATAAATTAATATACCACTAAGAAATGGCTAGTAGGATGGTACGTGATACCCGGGGTATTATTTTGTGGGAATACTTTACGCAGTGCTAAATGGTAGTAACTCTTTTTTAATCGTTTCTTTTATGATTTCATTGGTGAAAAATTTGGGGCTATAAGATGCAATATTTCTAGATTTACATGCAGTTTTTTTTTTTTTTGCATGTCTTATAGTCCAAATATAGTGTAACGAATTAGAACTTACGCAATATTGCTATACCTAAAAATCCAGCCAATGTTAGCTGTCATAATAACTTAAAGTTTTTCCTTAATTTCAAATTATTGCATTTGCCAAATTCAAACCAACAGTCACAACTATTTAAAAAAACAAAAAAACACAAAAAAAATATCAAAGCAGGCAATTTTCACTGGCCCCACTGTCTAAGTTTTTTATTAATCTAAATCTTATTTGGACAAGTTTGGGAATTATGCCCCTTTCTATGACAAATACTATATTGTCTTTGTGTATATTCACGATTTTGAAAGTCAATTGGTTGCATAGATGCCGAAATTAACACCACAGGATTACTTGGTCCTACTAAAAAGTAAAGTTTGTAAGAAATAATATAACAGATATGATCATTTGCAAAAAATTTATTATTTAACTACAAAACGAATTAAATAATACTGAATTCTTCTGTATCAGATATCTCTCGAACACTTTTGCAACTAGTAGACGTGGTCAACGATTTTTCATTATCTTCAGAACCTAAATTAACAACTGCTTTAGTAATAAGTAAATATAAAACACAAACACCTATATTTCATATGCTTACATTCGCTACACAATTATAATAGTACATTGGTTAGAAGTATATGAGAATCAAATTTTTTTGAATGTTAATTATATTTTAAAATTTTGTGTAACAAATTAGCAGGTGACAATTATGTGATATTTTCTAAGTACATATATTAATCTCAAAATTTATCAAAAATTGAAAAAGTTGTTTAGAGGCTTGGGCACCTTTACTTAGATCGCATAAGCTAACACTTATCTTTCAATTTCATCATTTGTATTATTTGCATTAATGTTCGATTTTTCTTTTTTTTTGCAAGTTTTGCTATTATGCCCCTTTTTTTTGCATAACTTGTACTTGTAACTCGTTTTTGCATTAGACTTCTCAAAGACATTTGCAATTCTTTTTGACTTTGGACGACCTTTTGATCTTCTTTTAACAGGATTTCGAATACCTATCATACGATTATTATTATTATTATTATGGCTAATTTCACCACCATCATTAACTTTACTAAGAACTCTCCGCGGCAATGTTCTGTTTTAGATTGAGGTAAAAAATCCAAGAAGTTCATAATAAAGATCTTCACTGCTATTCTTAATTGCATTAATCATTATTTTTCTTTCTAATCCCCAAAGTTCTCCAAACTTGCGCTTCTTCGAAATAGCCTTAAATATTTCATCAGGAGATTGGTTTACATTATTTGCAAATTCTTCAGCTATATTAACATCGAACTCGCTATGCAAAAATTGTGTTGGCAAAATATGTGCCTTTGATATTGATATAGATATACTCGAGAAAATGATTATGAATCTATTATTTGTTATATTGGTTTCTTGTAAAGCGTCTTTGTACCAGCGCCTATTGACTAAACTGATATGAAATCTTGCATTGGAAGTTAAAGTCATAATATGATAAAAGTAAAGGCAGGGGTATTCATAAGACTTTCCAAGTATATAAGTGCAAAGAAAAGTGCCATTGTTTAAGAGATGTACAAAATGAGAAGTGCCAGAACTTAATAAGTGCATAACTTCCCAAGATTCAACAATTATTGAAAAATCGTTTAGAAATGATTTCAGTTGCATTTGTGGGCAGTCAAACAAGTTATCAATACATTGTTCGGATTCATCAACTTCCTAAAAATATTTACTAATTAAAAAAATAATGGTTAGTAATGCTATAAAAAAATATCTTAATACTATTGATAATAATTAGAACTCATGTCTATGATTGCTATGAAACGGCAATAGTAGTTTTAGAGGTATGAGCACAATGCCGTAATCCATTAGGGAAAAAAATCCAACACTTTCTGATATGGAAAAAGCAGTTGAAGAGTTAGAAAATGGTTTAAAAGAATGAAAAACAAGAAAAGAGTCACTGGACAAGAAAATCAAAAAATTCAGTGTTTATGAAAAAAAAAAAAAAAAACAAACAGCCTATTGGAAGCAGAAATTGAAGTTGCTTTTAATTGTAAATAACTCATGAATAATTACAGCATTGCGCTCACATATCTAAGGGGGATGCTTAAAGCCAGGTCCATCACGAATTTAAGTTAACGTTAAGGTTAGAGTCAGTTTAAGGCCTATATGGGAGATTTCAATATGTAAAATCATCTCCCCAGTATTTTTTTTTATTGTACCAAGATAGGTTTAAACATTTGCTTCTTGTATTTTTTACTTTTTTTTGCTTCGTCGGGCTGATTGATTGGTCGTGCATGACAGAAGATCTCGTGATGGACCTGGCTTTAAGTAACCTCCCTCTAAGTAGTTTTGCCACAATTATAATACTAACTATAAAAATCTTACCCTCTTTTTGGAAATTATAACTTCAAGATCAACCTCAATGGCATGATAATAAAAGCTTAAATTCATTTGCTTCTCCTGTTTTTTCATTACGTTTGGCATTACAAACTCGTTCAGTTGCCGTATTACGAGTTCAAAAATAGTTTTTACTGCATTTTTTGTGGAATAGTTTGTTTCCAGCTTACAAACTTGCAGTAATCGTCAAATAGCTTGTATAATAAAAGACTTAAACTCCCAAAAAGATGTTTCAATGCTGAGTTCTCACCCTCGTTACGGAAAGTTGATTGTACGCCAGCTATGAAATATCTACTGGTAAACGCACGTGCCCACAATTTAGTACTACAAAATTTGCTGCTCTGAGCTCATTCAAAATAGGTGAGTTAAGGAGAAAGTAACTGGGTCAAATTCCATTAAAACAACCCATCGGGGATCCTCAATTTTTTTTTCATTAAGTCTTATCAACAACATTCCCACATCATCTTCATCTGGTTCAGAATCATGCTGGAACATTTGAATTGTTTTGTATAGATCTGGTTGGTATATTCTAACATTATACTTTTCTTGAATTATTCTATACTGTATGGTTGAATCCGCCTTTGCAACGGTTGTCAAAAAACGAATTTCTTCTACAATTTCTTTTGGTAACTTGCATAACTTGCATCGAAATTGCTTGCTAGTGGATTAAGCTCATAACCCACATGCTCGTTATTAAAAGTTGTGACTTCAATACAATTTTTTTTATTTTTGAACCAAAAATTGACTTTCCATGGGCATTCTACTCGACAAGACACTACGCTTGATTTTGCTGGCTTTTCAGCATAGCGACACAAATATGATCGTTTTATTATTTCTTTAGTTTTTGTATTTACTCTTCCACCACTACCGATTCGTATTCCATGACCTTTAACACTAGCATATTTCTTTATAAAGTCTGCTACCTGGTCTCAGTCTTTAAAGGTTTTGCCAATCGAAAATTCTTCAATTTTATCAAAACTAAACCAAAAATAGCGATATAAAAAAAAAAGATCAACAGATAATAAAACATAAAGCATTACTTATTTATCAATATTGATATCAGAAAAGTCATCTGTACTATCATATGCTGCTAACATTTCGAGTTCTACATCATGATTGTTCAATATCTCAGGTTCTACATTTTGATTGTCTAAAACCTCAGGTTCTATGTCTTGACAATTTGGATTATATTTAAGATAAAATCGCTAAAACATATAATAAATTTTTGCTTTAAATAAAAAAAAAAGATTGATTCTTTTTTATTCTTGTTTAGGGCTAGAGTGAGAATAGCATAGAGTATGGGTTTGGTTGTTTCGCTACAGGTTTTTTTTTTCTTTGCCTCTTATTAGTCACTTGTAATTTTTTATTTTTGTTTTTTTTTTTTCTAGACAGTATTATGATTTGCTCGTTTTTATTCCTTTCTACTTCCTTTCTACTTTGTTTCTACTTTGTTTCATTACTATTATTTTATCATGTTTTTTTGGTTTTGTAACAGGTAAAAATATTTTTAAATACACATTCGTTAATGACGTACGTACATACACAATACACATCAAACAACAACAAACAACAAAAAACAAATAATAAAGTACCGTAAACATGTGCTATCCAGGTTTACAGTAAAAGATCTGGTATACAAATAAAAAAAGAATAAACCTGTTATCAAATCCACACTCTATATGTACAAGATACAAGATCTGTGGGGCTTAAAATTGAAATATATTAGATATGGTATTTACAGTAATTAGCCAATTATAAATACCCGATATTATTATATAATGTCTAAAAATGATTGATTAATTTTAAAGGGTTGCATAGCGACGGGTTGCTAATTTAATTTTGCTATAAAAAAAAATAATAAAAAAAAATAATAAAAAAAAATAATAATAAAAATAATAAAAAAAAATAATAAAAAATAATAAAAAAAATAATAAAAAAAAATAATAAAAAAAATAATAAAAAAAATAATAAAAAAAAATAATAAAAAAAAATAATAAAAAAAAATAATAAAAAAAAAAAAAAAAAAAAAAAAAAAAAAAAAAAACAAACACAAAACCAAAAAAAAAAAAAAAAAAAAAAAAAACAAAAAAAAAAAAACAAAA